CCCCCCCCCCCCCCGGGAGAGCAATTTCGATTTCGGTTGTAAATATAAGTAGGCATTTTGGGGGGCTTCTTTCACGAAAATAAGTCATTGCCCTACTGCAGAGGGTTTCTATCCACGGTGCCCCTTCCGCAATAATGTACTTGTAGCCCAAATTGACGTTTTCGCAGCTGTCATCCGTCGCAAAGAATTCGGCGCAACAAACTTAGCAGGATGCAGCGCACCTTCCATACGACTTGCTGAATACCTGGTCCGGTGAGAGCCCGGCGTGCTCCGTCCCCGCATTGTAGGGATGTGAGGTTAATGGTCAAACGACTACGACATGCACGACTGACCATGAGTACTCCCCGCCCCCCCCCCCCCCTACGAATGGGGAAAAGACGCAAAGGAACTGACATGGCAGTATCGCATGTGCGACATGGGAGAGGAGAGGTTGCCGAGAATCGGTGTTTGCCATCGGGATGGGTTTTCGTCGCTTAGCAACGACGTTGTCAAACAAGACAATTCACTTCGTGAACTCGGCAACCAGGTTGTTACCGTTTGTATTTTTTTACGTCATTTTTTTTTTTTAGCGGTAACCATAATGGTGGTCGAGTAGATCATGTTGTGCGGGGTGGAGAAACGGGGGATGATCGCACCACGTTGTGTTGAAATGGTCAAGCATCCTCGAGGCAGTTACACAGTGCTTACAACTGTCTCTGGAAGTGAACGCACCAGAAAATAAATTAAGTCATACGCAGCTGTCATCCGCGCAAGGAAGTAAGCACAAGATGCCGAACACCCTTAGCAGGATGCAGCTCACCCTTCATGCGACTCGCCAAATACCTCACGGCGCTTCGCGCTTGGTGATGTGAGGGCCTGGTCCGGTGAGAACCCGGCGTGCTCCGCCCCGGCTTTGTAGGGATGCGAGGTCAATGAATGGTCTATTGACTACGGCATGCACGACTATGAGTACCCCCCCCCCCCCACCCCCCCCCAATTTTGAAAAAATAGGCCAAGGGACCTTAAAAGAAACCCCTTGGGCCAATAAAAAAAAAAAAAACCTGCGGAAAAAAACCTTTGTGGCTAACCCGGAAAAAAACAAAGGGGGGGAACCCCCCGAGATTTCCCCACCTTAAGGCTTTCCCGGGGCAAAAAAAAAAAATTTGGGAAACCAAAAGGTGGGAGCGTGGGACCCAAAATTGGCCAAAGGGAATATGTCCCCCCCCTTTTTTCCCCTGGGAAAATTTTTTCTTGGTTTAGAAAACCCGGATATACGCCTTCCCTTTCCTAAAAACAAAACCTCTGGAAAAAAAAAAAAACCTTTGGGGTGCGGGGAAAAAA